CTGGATCGTGAGAAGGCAAACAAAACGAAATGAATGAAATTGCGATGTAGAGACCCTCCAAAGAAGTGTACATTCAATGCATGTTGGTTGACAATGTTCACTATTCTGTCGAATGGACCAAAGGGGACGTAGTTTCTATTTGCCTGCACAACATCTTGTAGCCTTCTAGTTTGGAGATCAGCTCTAGACGTAATAAATCTGAACTGCTCTAGTAGATCGTCATTTGCCTACTGCCACATAGAGTTTTAATTTGTTTTTAATTGAAGGAAAGTCCTATGAATTGATTTATGAAAAAAAAAAATCGTCCTAAATTTTTTTTGAGTTGATCGCACTTTAAATCTAGGTGTGTGATATGATCAGAAAATATATACAGTGACTCAAACAATCACCATGTGTTGATTTTGTTTTTAATATTCGTAATGTTTTTTCGACCCAATTTTTTTCGTTAGATATCTTTCTATAAAAATACGGTGCAAGCTTTATGCAAAAACATAAAAGTCACAGTTTCAAACTTTATAGAAAAATTTAGGCAAATTCGACAAATTTTCATCAACAGTTCAACTTTTTATCTGAATCTTTAGATTCAGTTTTATAGCGCATACAATTATAGTGTAATGAAGTGCCAGTTTCAACCTGATAAAAATCACGTTAATTTTTGAGATTTTTTTTTTTTTTTGCAGAAATTCATGCCTATATGGAAAATAATCCAAAAATCCGTCACCAAAAAAAATTCTCAAAAATCAATGGGGAAAATGCACAACACCTTCAGCCAAAAAAAAATTTTTAAAAGTCAACTCGATTTTTTAGCGTCTTGAAATTTGCACCCTAACCTACTAAATTAAATGGCTATATAAAATTGCATACCTAAAATTAAAAAAAAAAAATCTTAATAAAAAGATTAAAATTTTTGGGGCAATTTTTAAAGTTTTTTAAAGTTTGTGGGACTGGTTATGGGAGGATCCATGGAAAAGTGGAGCTCAGTGCAAAAATCATTTTCTTTATAAAACTAACAAACGTGTGGATAAGAAATTTGTAAAAATCTTGAATCAACCAAAAAATAACAAATTAAAGCTTTAAATGCATTTTTATTCGCTTTTTTTACGTTTTGAAATCAAGTTCTACGTAAATTTTTTGATTGAGTTTAAAGTAGGTTGTGTTGAATGCACTGTCAAATAATTTGCGATTCATAATTCAAGTGTTTGGCAAGACAAATATCTAGTAGAACTCATCTGCTTTTAATAAAATTGTTTTATATATCAAATTGTGTGACTGCTTTATCTATATTATGAGTTATTATTCAGCCTTATTGTCTAGTCCCATCCGTGACAAAAAAACTAAAAGTTGTTATATTTAATTACATAAGTTGAGGGGGTGTTTTCCATGTTTGTTACATAATGTTAGAAATTCATTGCAAGTATTTAGCACAATTGCATTGCCGTTTCCACGTAGTTAGATAAGCATAATTTAACAGAGAAGCATGTCCCACCCGTGACAGCTATGTGTGGTATAGTTGTCAGAGGTAGGTTTACAGGGCTGATAAGTTTTATTTGTTTATTGAGGTAGACACAGGGGAGGAGGGGGGATGCGCGAACTCGTCCATTATCTATATACCCTTGTGGTCTGCTGATTAATTTTGAGCAGTTTTTTTTTTGTTAATCGAATGCTTATAGTTTTTTAGTTAGCACATTACCTAACCAGAACCACATAAATCCGCATTTCAAACTTCTTACAAAAAATATAAAAATTCAACAAACCTTAACCTCAACAATTACACCCAAAAATTTTTAATTTTTGTTCAGAATTTATAGGTATGCAGTTTTGTAGTCCATTAAATTTAAATAGGTAAAAGTGAAAATTTCAAGACTAAGAAATCGCGTCCATTTTTAATAATTTTTTTGGCTGACGGTGCTAAGCATGACGTGAGTGAATTTATGCTATGCTTTTCACCACCATTTTCGGTACTTTTCTGTACGTACATACGTTTCTGCCGTACATTTTAGTAGGAAAATGGATCATTAAAGTATCCGGAAATGGAATCGGTAAACGGACAAAAATCCGGTTTTCATCGACTTTTTTCCGTTTTCAGATTTTTTGCTCGCTGGGTAGCTTTCAATGTGTATGTATAACTCCCACCTTAAAAGAAGCTTTGCTAATAGATCCGTGAGCAGTAATTCTGAGTAAAGCAAACAATTTTAAATGATAGGAAACAAATTTCTGTCACCTGCTGTTCAAAGCTCGTTAAAAGCGTGGTACTTCGCTTACAAGAAAGAATAAATCGCAACGGGAAATTGGCGAAGTATTATATTATACTAGCGTACCCGTGCGAATTATTCGCATCAAATGTTTTGGAATAAAATGGAAATAAATTAACTCAGGTATATGCTTCAGGAGTTTGTTTCATTGCAGTAATTACAAATGTGTAATTTTAACTGAAACCTTACAAAACTTCTTTGAAAACAATCCCAGTGGGAAAATGTAACGTATAGTAATCGAAAAAATAATCATTAAAACAACCATTTTCACATTCGAAAATGCTTTTTTTCCCCAAGGCGATGTCCTCAGAAAAGTGGGGCATTCAATTTTGCATTATCTAGTAGTAGAAATGAATGTGGTTTAATATGAAATGTTTGAAACGTTTTGAATACATTAGAATGCTGATTACATAGTTAGCAGTAATATTATCGAGAACTCATAAGAAATACATTATATTATTTATCACGCATGTAATTCATTACTACTTTTCTGACTGGGATATTAGAAAAGATAAAGTGATCATTATTTTCTCTTTGGTTGGAAGTTTCTTGGATACCCACCTAAATACATATCGTTAAATGTACGAACTATTGAAAAAGCCACGTACAGCTAGTTGCCCATGCAATCGTCACATACGATATCGTACTACTCGTCACGTAAAAATACATTTTTCGGAGTATGACATACGTGAACGTACTCTTTGTCCCATTCAGCGTATACTGTCTGACGTATCACGAAATTTGCTTTCGTATCGTTTTCGAGCCGTGAACGGATGTTACGATTCGAGCCCTGGTTACGGTAGATATAACCCTGCCCTTTGAAGCGTGTGACGTTGTGCTTTATTGATTGCCATAGGAAAGGCTACCTTTACCGCGAACTGTTTTTTTACTAAGTGGAAAGGCAGGACTGGAAAATTAATTTATTGGGTAGTAAATCCGACGAATTCAGGGAGTTCAAAAGTTCTATTGGATATAATTGATCCCTACTCACATATTGTTGAACAAAATCCGAACAGAGGTAAATCTTTTCTCCACCAAATCACAGATTGGAAATAAAATGCGCATTCATTTTTATGCAATCATCATTTTTTTAACATAAAATCGCTGCTGAATAAATGTGTGGAGTATTTTGTTATCATTGATTTGCGTGATATTGAATAGGTCAAAACATTATATATTAAGAAGATGAAGATAAGGATACCGATAAAAGCAAAGAAAATGGTATAGATAGCGACACAGAGGCCTGGGAACTATTTCGGGATTTTCAGTATTCTCGGGGCTAATCGATATAAGAGTCGATATTTTTATGGATTTTGTTATTGATATTTTTTATCTATTTTGTTATCGATTTGGGTATCGATTTTCTTATCGATGTGGATATCGTTTTTATAATCGATATTTTTATTGGTTTTCGGAATCTTCGGGATTCTCGGAATTTTTGGGGATCCCGTAATAGTCTAAAAATCCCAAAGTCTCGAAAATCCCGAAATTGTCCAAAAATCCCGAAGGAGACTAAAAATCTTGAAGTAGTCCCGAAGATTCCGAAAATCCTGAAGAAGTTTCGAAAGTCCCTAATTAGTCTCAAAAATCCCAAGGAATCTCATAGAACTGGAAGTTGGAAGATACTTGAACATCTTATTTGCGTTGCATAACAAAAGTATTATTTAGTTGTAAAATTACGAAAATATTTATTTCTAATTTGGTTGACAAATTAACTCACGAATCACAAATCAAATAGTATTTCTTAATTGATAGCGGATTTTAAATCAATAAGGATTTAAAATCACGCAACCCTACCAGCGCATGACCGTGACGTTGACGTTGCTTCTCTCTCTCTCTCTATCAACAGCAAATTTGATATGTTTCTACGCACTTCTACGGTACCCTGCGTACACGTTCGTGGGTAACCGCGATCTAACACTTATTTTTATCTCTCCCAGCTATAAGTGTACGAGACCAACAGCAGAGGAAATTATATGCAAATAACCCTTTTCCACTGAGAGGAGCGCTTATCTACAAAAAATAAACCCCCTGTTCTGTTTTGTGGGTTATTTTTCCTCTTAAATAGTGACGGTTAATTTGGGACACTTTCAAGGTGGAGAGGGTTATTTTAATACTTTTAGAAAGTTGGCAACCCTCTTCAAAATTGTTACTTCGAGTTAAGAGTGCATTTAAATGCCTTTTATTCGCTGAACGCATTTACGCTATTTTTATTTTTTAACTCAACCGGTGAAACTGTCATTCAAAATGGTGTTTCAATCGTTCAATTAGATGGAGTATTATGGAAGATATGGCGCTTTACTAGCCGGATACGGTGCTTTCAGCTTTTAAAAATCCATTTTCTTTAATAAATAACTAAATTTGAAAAACGCGACTATTTTGCGCATGTATGTCGGCATTCATCGAGGCCACGCAATGAGCGGCAAAGCGGCGAGAGTCTGAGCGGCGCCATACAGAAATGCCGCTCATCCGCTCAGAAATACCGCTCAGTGCCTGTCCACTTCAAGACTATTTCATATGTTTTAATTTTAAGACGCTCAGCTGCTCATTGCGTGGCCTCGACCTAACTGTCCCATTTTGGATGTGAGTTACCTATAAAGCAATGAATTAATAATTAAACGTATGTATTTTTTGTCGTTGTTTTGAACTGAACCTTTATCTTTTTTTATCTGCATTGATTTAAACTATCCAATTTTGAAATGTTACTTACTGTGTATATATATGTACATACATGTATTTCTTCACTAGGAGTGCAATCACGCTCGTATGAACGAGACGCGCGATAGGCTACGCAAAAAGTTGTCGCAGCTGGTAAATGCGCGCAAAAATATGAAAGCTGCAGCATCCGCAGCAGCTACTGGTGATCAGCAGCAGCCGCCAACGCAGCCAGAGGCGACACCAAGCACCAGCACTAAACAGCCACCTTCATTGAAGGCGGTAGCAAAAGCAGCGGCAGCAGCTACCGCCGCCAATTCCAAACCGCATAGTACTACTGGTAACAAATTGGAGGACGATGACGACAGCTTAGTGTGTTTAAGTACATTGTGCAAGCGTATTAGCCATTTGCATATGAATGCAACATCCGTCGCTGGGCAAGCGGCGCAGTCTACAACAGCCTCGGCCCCTACAGCAACGCAAAGTGCTGTGGGTAAAAAAGCTACTTCGTCGGCGGCGACGGCAACAGGTTCATCCGGAACTCCACCGGCAAAGAAGCCTGCAAATTCGGGACCGAATGCTGCTGCCTGGGAGGCGGCGAATCGTGAGGTCAACAGCACCAGAGGCGCTAGTACCAAAAACGCTGCAGGTGGAAGTGATAAGGGCGGTGGCAGCACTTCACGAGATTTGAGTGTGCTCAGTGTATATCTAAACAGCTATTCGAAAGAGTTCCTAGATAATTATTCACGCGATCAATCGAAAGTACGCAAATGGATAAACGAAACACTGAGCTACATCGAAGGGGGCCCTAGCGGAAGCAATGGCACCGGTAAAAAGGCTCAACCGCAACCCACTAACCCGAAGAAGGCTGCTAAAAAAGCAAAACAAAAGCAACGCAAAGAGGAAGAAAAGCGTATAACGGAACTGCAGGATTTGCGTGGCCAATTTCATGATATCTATTTCAAGGAATTCACTGACAAACAGAAATTGAAACTGCTAAAGTCTAGTAAGAAACGCGACAAGAAGCAAATCGCTGACCTCGAGACGAACATCAAAAAGCTGCAACGTGCAAAAGCAAAAGTAGAAACTGTGATATTGGAGTTGATTGCCACTTTAAAACAGACCAACGCTGAATTTAGATTTTCTTATTTGCCGACAAAGGAACAACAAATAGAAAAGTTAAAATCAATCGAAGAGAATGCAACTACAGGTACCGGAAGTAGCGCAAGCGCATGCGCCAATGCCAGTACAAACGCAAATTTGCCCTCCACATCCGCCAATGCCAATGGTGGCATTAACAACCTGAATGTTGCTTCTGGCATTGCGCAGGGCAATAATAACTACACGCTGCCATCTGCGTTTGCTCATGCCAATGTGCCAGGGGCTACTTTTTCTCCCTATCAAATAGACTTCCAGTCGTCACAAAGCGGCGCGCTAAATGCCGGCGCTGCCACGGCGGGCTATGGCATGATACGCACACCCCTGCCAGCACCCATGTGCTATGCGCCACCACCGCATCAAACACTCTCCCCCGATGTGGTTGCTGCAATGGCGGCCAACGCCGCTTGCAACTCAAATGCGGACCCCTCTAAACGTATTGTCACAATACGCCGCGTTAACTTGCCAAACGTGCCGGAACCACGCGTCACGGTCACCGCCAAGGGTAGCTCGCCAGATAAGGATAAGTTGCTCTACACATTCGTCAATGGGCAGCTGGTGCCAACTACCGCGCCGCCAATGACGCAACTTCCCATACAGCAGTTATCGAATGTCACAGAGCCGCGCGTCACTATAAGTACAAAGGCCAGTCCTGCAGACAAAGATAAGTTGCTATACACGTTCATCAATGGACAAATGGTGCCAACTTCGGCCCCGCCAATGACGCAATTGCCCTTACAGCAAATACCGTTGCCACTGCCAATGCAAGCGCCGCCACCACCACCGCCCATTGTCGCCAGTGAAATTCCGGCGTCACTAGCAATACCACCACCACCTCTGTCTAAAACGCAACTGAAAAAGGAGCGACGCAGAGCGGCAAAATTGGCAGCTGAGGAGGCGGCAGTTGCTGCTGAAGAAGAACTACTACGGCAAGAGCAAGCGCGTGCGCGCCTGGAGAAATCGAACAGTCAGCAAAAAGCGGGCAAGAAGTCTAAGCCGAAAGCGGTCGAAGCTGTGGAACAGCGGGATGTAGCCGCAATGCCCAATTCAAAATCAAAGAGGAATTCTAGCAGGAATGTCGTTACGCCCTCGGCATCAACTACATCCGTATCCACAGCAGAAGCGGTCGAAGGGGCACCTAAGAATGCTGGGAAAGCAGCAACACATGCGGTGCAACGCCGTTCAGCTTCCACAACTACTTCATGCTCTGCAGCCACATCGCTATCAGCTACTCCAGTCAATAGTCAAATGAATACGCGCGAAAACTCTGTAAGCAGTCATAAACCGGGCGCATCGGGAGCTGAAGGAGGAAAGAAAGGCAAATTGGCAACGCAGCAACAGAAGACTCAAAGTCAGGTTCAAAAGCCGGCAGCATCACAAAAGAAACAGAAAGCAGCAAGTAAACAGCTTCAGCAAAAGGACATTCAAGAGCAATCGAGTAAGGGCAACGGAGGCAATAAAAAAATGGATGAACCGAAGAAAATAGAGAGGGCGCCAACCCCTCCGCCAGAGCCAACAGCAATAGTGGAAGATGACGCTGAATTGAAAGAGCGAAAGAAGCGCAGAAAGGAGCGAGTACGCCGCACAAGGCTCGTTGACAACGGACAATTTGACAATAACCCTTTTGCTACATTGCATACGCAAGACTCAGACTCAGATTGGGACTCAGCTTTATCAAGCTTGGGTGAGGAGGATAACGAAACAGACTCAGAAAATCTGCAGCAACAAAAACAAGTTGCCGCTGTGCAGCAAAAGACAACCGTACAACCGCCTTCATCTAAATCCAAGAATACTCCAAAAGCAACACCGGCTCAAGCGCCTAAACCGGAGCCGACGATTCCCACCGCGGCGGCGGCAAACACCACATCTGTTGTCCCGAAGGCTAAAAGTAAGGTGAACGAGCCGAATATAAAAGAAAATCGTAACGCTAATCAACAAAACGCAAGACAACAGAACAAGCGAGGCCAACATGAACAACGAAGGGATGATGTTGTCAACAAGAAACAACAACAACAACCACCGTCACAAATACCACAGAAACCGCAGCAGCAGCAAATGGCGCAACCAAAAAATCGCCCAGCGACGCAATCACAACGCAGGGGCGATAAAGACAGAGAGCGTGAACTTGATCGGGAACAGTTTAACGCGAAAGGAAAGCCAAAGGGTAAGGAAAATGTGCAAACAAGTCAAGGTAGCAAACATGTTAGCGGAGGTGGAGGAGGAGGCAGAGTGGTTAGTAGTGTTTCACACCGCGAACTACCTTCAAAATCGGGCCGTCAATCCTCTCGGCAGCAAAAGACTACTGACACCGGATCCCAAAAGCAAACACAGCCGCAGGGACAGTTACAAGATCCGCCACGAACCAGGGGAGGGCGTGGCAGTAGAGGAGGGGGTGGCGGTAACGGAGGTGGCGACGGTGGGGGAAGCGATTCACGGCCGAAACGTGGTGGCGGGCGCTATGAGCGCAGCGGACGTGGTTCAGGTAAGTTTGTAAAAATTGTAAAAGAGTTTCATTAAAAAAAAATCGTCATCATAAAAGGCCCTATTTGAAAATTTGTCGGAAATGCGGTATTTTGAATATTCCACAATTCAAAGTCATAACTTCGAACATACCAAATACAATGACATCTTTAGATCGGTATGTACATATGCCTATGTAAGTTTAAAATGTTTTTAATCCTCTACAATGTTAAATTTGTCAAATAGGGCCTTTCTCACGTTCTGCAAATCGATTAGGGCACTATTTTCGGGCTTTCGGTTTTTAAATCGTTTTATGCGTTCTGTAACTGGTTACGGTTTCCTAACATCGCAAAATTGCTATAAGTTTACTTTTTTATTTTCCGCAACGTATATACCGGCGTGGCCGCTGTGCAAATGGAGAAAGACAAAGAGAAATTTTTACTTCTAGTGTGAACACCCAGAAATATCTTTTTGTCACTTTCCATAAATCAGTTTCAGCTGAAAGAGCGCAAAGCGGAAATATATTTCAATTTGCTTGTGATAGTATAGGAATTTTAAATTTTTGTGCTGCAATTGTTGTCAAAATATTCTATTGTGGGTGTTCACACTTGCCGGCTAGCGGGTTATTTGGTTTTATTATTCCATAGTAGGGGTATTCATATAACACGATAAACGTAAAAGTGAAAAAATTATAAATTCCATACAAAAATATAAGTTTATCAAGTTTTGTCGGCAGTATGAGGTTTGCTGAATAGCCCTAATTTATTTTATTGTTGTAGACTGGTTAACAAAATAACCACATAACCAGATAACCTGATGACCAGGCAAGTGTAAACATCCACATTGTTTAATTCTATATCAAAAATGCTTGAAATTAGTTATTTTTTGGAATTAAATTGTCAAGTTATCAATATTAAATTAATCTTCAAATGGAAAATAATGTTAATTATAACCAATATTTCTTTTGTTTTAATTAATGTTAGTTCTTGCTTTATATTATTTTAACAAAAATAGCAATAATAATAGCCCGACAATAAGCGGGCTTCTCTGGAAACACGGAAATAATAATTGTGCTGATTAAGGGTTCTGATCCTCAAGCGCAACCTTTATCTACTCAAAACAAGCGAAAGCCCAAGCAAAAATTGTGATTTTTACCAATTTTTATAATGCCTCCCTAGGGACCCATTCCTTTTCCTCTGTTACCAGCATCGCGACCCGCGTTGAATACTTTCAGAGCTGGATCGCTTCTGTCCATTCGTATGACATGACCGAGCCAGCGTAGCCGCTGGATTTTATTCCGCTGCAATATGTCTATATCGTTGTAAAGCTCTTGCAACTCATCGTTAAACCTTCTGCGGTGTTCGCCATCACCTACGCGCAAATGCCCGCAAATCTTTCGCATAATTTTTCTCTCGAATACTTCAAGAGCCGCCTCATCGAATGTTTTATTGTTCATGTCTCCAGCACGTGCCTGATGAGTGACTTATAGAGTGTGATTTTTGTACGACGAGAGGGGACTTTTCTTCTCAACTGCCTATTCAGTCTAAAGAAATACTTGTTGGCAAGAGTGAGTCTCCGTTGGGTTTGAAGACTGACATTTTCGTCAGTCAAGTCGTCTACTTTTTCAAATATGTAACTGTCAACAGTGATGTGGCTGCCGAGGCGCTTATGATCTGACTGTTTGTCTGATGACAGGAGAGTTTGCCGTTTGATGGAAGGTTTCAAGAACAGGGCGAACTTCTGTAAGAACAACATTGCCGACCTAGTGACCGATGTCCAGAACGTGGATGAAATACTTTTCCACTCTACTGCGGCCGGTTTGAAAACGTTTATCTCAAAAAAAATATTGGGCGTTCTTAAATCAAATTCTGAAATAAGGCGTTCTTCAAAAATTTGCTGACATAGGGCGTTTTCGAACCGGCTGCCGAGATAGGTCGATCATCCATTCAGCCGTCGAAGTAGTGTAGAAGGCGAACCCAAGCCCCCAGTTGTTGACGATGGAGTCGATGTCCCACCGCCTGACTATGACGAGGTACGAATAGAAATTACGTGGCTGAAAAATTACAACGCTGCTGGGGCTGGCGGACTGCCAGCCGAGCTATTTAAGTACGGCGGCGAGGAGCCGATAAGGTTCCTGCATCAACTCTTTCGCAAAATATGGTCAGATGAATGCATACCCGACGAGAGAATGTTTTACCATAAGATAACGAAGAATATGGATAACCCTTATGACAAGAATGAGAAAAATCGAAGTTTAAGGAGGGAGAATAAGCATTAAATTTGGACAGCGCCCTCCTTAAATGAGCATTCCTCTCATTTAGCAACACCCACAAAAACAATTCATTACAACAAAGAATACGTGAGGGAACATTAAAGTGAATTTTCATGAGGTGGTGGAGGCAATCGATAGGGCCTGCAATTATGTTTATCAAACGCAAAGCCCATCGACAACAGAGTACGCCTAGACTCTAAGGTCACGAGATTTATCAATGAACAACAATGCCTCTATCTCGCGATAGCATCGATTGTTTCTGGCACAGCAACCGTTTTTGGACAACCTTCTCGAAATTCATTCTGGCAAAGAAGATGGCGTTTCACAGTGGCTAAGTGTGGTGGTTCAACGCCAAAAGTCGAAGTAAGTTGATCAATGCACCAACGCCAAAAGTCGAAGTAAGTTGATCAATGCACTCCTTTCTCAATACTCCACTTCGAAAATCGTAATAAATCATCGCACGAAAATTTTCATGAGTTAATTTCACGACTTGATTCCATCTTTTGGGCGAGATGCAAAAAAGATGCGGTATGCCCGCGAAACTAATACGGCTGTGTAAAATTATCGTTGAATAATACCACCAGCTCCGTCAGAATTGGGAAGGACCTCTCCAAGCCGTTTGATACGGCGCAAGGTTTCTCTTTCGTGTGATTTGTTTAACCTAATATTGGAGAATACGAGCTGCAGAACTGAACCGCTCAGCCACAATTCTTTTTAAGAGCGTACAATTGCTGGGGTCTGCCGTCGACTTCGGCTTAATCGGTAAAAACATCGGTGGAAACAACAGGTGGATAAAGACTTGTCTTCACTTGGAATTTCCAATTCGCGGCAGTTATGACAGAAGACTGAAGTGCTCTGTTGGACGCGGCCAAAATCGCCTAGGTGGTTACAGCTCTAATTAAGAAGAAGATGTTTACATGAAAAGTTTATTAATAGATGTAAAATTTATAACAGTAAGCGCTAGTTTTTTCGTGCACGGTTAAATCTGACTGCTTTATACTAAGATTAGCCAATAAAATGTCAGCCAGCTGTTAAATAGTATGTGTAGGGCTCTTTATATTCGATTACTAGTCGCTTGTGTTCGATTATTCGAATATTTGCAGTCAGAGGCGAAAGAACACAAAAAAAAATATTTTTTCAGAGATTACAGAAAAGATCGCTAGGTATGAAAAAGATTTGTCAGCACCATCAATACATCTTGCGGAACCTAGCTTAGCTTCTCCTGACTCTGGCGAGATGCTCGTTTCACCCAATAATGGAAATTTCCGTAGGATGCTGAAACTAATAGCTCAGAATGACCCCCAGACATATCAAAGAAATTGGAAATAAGGGACGAGTGCAAATGAATTATTTATCCTAAATAACCTGCGAGGAAATAATAACTTTGAGGGGTGAGAAAGTACAGGCAAAAATAATAATTCCATCTCTGTTCATATACGAGACTGCCGTGGTTAGTCGTTTGATACTCGATGCAACATGAGTGGCAAGTACAAAGGCATTCAGACAAGAATTTTAAAAGAAAACACGCCGTCAGAAGTCTATAATTACCGATACTGTTAAAATTAAAATATAATTGTTTTTTTTTTTTCAAATTAATTGTAAGTAATTATTAACTCAAAAAAATGCTCCCACATGTATAACGGCTCCGCGCCCCCACATTCTTAATCCGGCCCTGTTTGCAGTACATGAATTTATTTTTAGTTCACATTGTTACGTCGCTATATGGATCCGCATTCGTTGAAGGCACTCTAAAAGATCCGCGCTCCACATTTTATATATTTATTACAGATGTGCACTCGCTTTAGGTGATTGGCTAAGGACGTAGTGGAGTGGTGAAAGCCAAAGAATGCATCATAAATGGAGCACGTAAGGCTACGGTTACTATGCATGCGTATTCTGACTTATTTTTTTGTTTCGGTGAAATCGTCAGAACAATTTTTCGTCAGAATACGCATGCATATTAACCGTAGCCTAACGTTATTATAGTCAGAACTTTTTTTAAAAAAGCCCCAAACCCATATCACTTTTCTTCCGCTCACTTTAATAAATAAAAGATATAAATTGAAAAGTCACAAGTATATCCAACGTTGGAATTATAAAAAAAAATATTTGAATAACCGTTATTTTCACTATAATCACTTATAGCAACTAAAAAGTGCTGTGATCAAGGATCATATTATCGTCTGTTTAACAGCGTCCTAACAGGTCTATTCTGCACCTTACCGATAATTTTCTAACTGGAAAATTGTATTACCAAAAAGTGTTACCACTTCTTGTCACTGCCATTGTAGGTACGTTGGTAATGCAACCAAAATGGTCAGCAATTCAGTTATGAAGATTTGTAATAATTCCGGTATTGCATACATACATATTTCACGGGGGAATATTTTGGTACCAACTAATGAGATGGCAACAAAATGTACCGGTAACAAAAGTGCACAGAATGGGAAAAGGATTTAAAAATTGGCAGGAACTTTATTTACCGGTTACCGAATTTTTTCTTGCCAGCGCAGAGAAAAAAAAATTACATGGGTCAAATGACCAAGCAAAATTACGAGGAAACCGAGAGCGAAAAATTGTCAAATCGGTCGTACAACATAAATGTCGAAGCACAATTACATTTGATGCCGTTTGCCAAAATTAAGGCACACTCACATTGTGGCATAACTTTCGCGTCCCAATAGTCCCAAAGCCTCGAAATAATTCTGAAAATTCAAAGGTAGTCCCGAAATGATGTTTCGATTTTTATATTCCTCTGACATATCCCACTTAATTCACTTAGCACAGTGTCGAAAACACTAATCACTTCTGGTCTATATTTTTGAAACGATGATATAATGAATCCCGGACTCGCAGCTAACTTTATTGATATCGCCATAGACGTTTCTTTCATTTAGTACTTCTAAGAAAGCATTTTTTCTTAAGCGATAGTTGGCAAGAAATCTGAAATCAACGAATTGCATACTCTTAAAACATAATCTTTTGAACTGTAACTTCGGTTCCGATTCCAAACCGTACGATTTGCAGAATATGCTGCATGTTATTTGATTACTGAAATTAAATAAAAACGTATATCCCCAATGTTTTCCTAATTTTTTCTGATTCCCTTTATAAGGTGGTGGTGGTGGAAACGGCAACCAAAATTCCAATCGTCATTCTGCCGAGCCCAGTCAACAAATGTCAGGCTCCGGTGCTGAGAGTAAACCACTCTCCAAGCGCGCACAGCGACAAGCGCAACGTAATAAAAAATTCCAAAAGCAACAACATCTGCATCACAATTATGAGGATTGCGGAGCTGGCATACCGAACAATATGGGCTACTTCAACCCAGACGAAGTTGTGATACCACCATCGCCTCAGCCAGTCTTGCAGCAGCAACAACAACAACAGTATAACAACTTACCCCAACAGCTACAAGCGCTGCACATTGGTGGCAATCTAAGTGTTAAAGTAAACGGTCAACCACCGATGCAACCCAGTTACGCGAGTGTAAGTAATGGCAGCAATAATGGCGGCTACCAAGGCATGGTGCCCGCTCTAAGCATAATGGACCAGCTAAATCGAGGTGTTCAAGTAGAAAACCTCTCACTGCCACCCGGCATCACGCTCACTAAGGTGGATCCTGTGAAGAGCGAGCAACTGCGTCAAAAATCAGAGTCTATACGTAAATTGTCGAAACCGTTACAACAACAGGCGCAACAGTCGCAATCATTCCATCACAAAGCTGGTGCGACGATAATCGCACCAGGTGGCAATTACTTTGGTGCTGCACCATATGCTGGCGTTGCTGCTGCAGCCGCTGCTCTGGAGCAGAGCGGCATCATTATGGTAGAGGCAAATCCAGCCAGTGGCAATAACAAAAAAGACCATACAAAATCAGGTGTTGGTGGTGGCCAGGCGCCGCCCAGTGGCAAACCATCGAAGAGTAAGAAACGGCGTAACAAATCAAAGCAAGAAAGCAATGCACGCGCTGCTGCCGCCGCTCAAGCTGCTGCAAACGCTATCGGCAGTGTTGGTGATAGTGGAGCAGCTCAGAATGCCAACGGACAGCCGAAAATGATAACGTTACGCAATCCGATGTTTCACGGTGGAGCGGCAAGCGCTGCCGCAACCATACTACAGCAACAACCGGGATTAATACCAGGTAAGCGACTATTTTAAGAAAATTATTATGACCTTATTCATAACACAGGCCAAAAAAAAAATGGGAAAAAAAATCTTGGCGCGGCAAATGTTAAAGCTGTTTTTGATACGACTTTTTGGTGCTGATTAGGGAGGTTCCATGGGAAACTGAACCTCGCGCAAAAATTATTTTCTTTATAAAATTAACAAAAATGTGGATAAGATATTTGTAAAAATCTTGAGTCAAAAAATTACAAATTAAATATTTAAATGCATTTTTTATTATTTTTTTTTACGTTTTGAAATCAGGTTCGAAGTAAATTTTTTGAGCGAGTTTAAAGTAGGTTGTGTTGAAAATAATTTCAAATAATTTGCGATGCATAACACTGATAAACAGTGGTTGTGTTAAACAAAATTAAGTTTTTTTTAGATACTACTACCTAACCGCATATACACCTCATACTTAGTTTTATTCAGTTTATTCAGTTACCCTCAGTTTTTTTTTTTTTTAAATTGACTGAAGTGATTACGCGTATTATTTATTAGTATTGACATTAAAACGGTATTTTGATATTTCTAAATATCGTACGAAGATGCCCAGAGTGTATGTAAATCATCCTGAAAACTTTTGTTATATTTGCAGTCAAATAACTGTTAAAAGTCAATGGCTTCGTAAAAAAACAACAGAAGAAAACAGAAATTTCCAAGAAATTAAAGAGGGAAATTTGTAGGGCCACAAATTAGAGACATATTGGAACAGGTAGAAGAAAAACTTAATCCGATCAAAAAATCCGCATATATGCAAAATGTCGCTCAAGATAAGCTTCTTACACTCACATTTAAATTGTTTCCTGAAAATTTGGGTGCCGTTAGCGACGAACACGGCGAGCGGTTCCATCAGGATATATATATCATAGAAAAATGGTACCAAGGCAAATGGAATCCAAAGCTGATTACTGTTGGGCACTAAAAAGAGATGCTAAATATTTCCGAAAATCCTCAGTAAAATTAAAGATTATTTATTTTTATTAATTAAATAAAGTTTTCAAGCGTATTTCATTAAATTTTACTTAAATGCCGTGGAAAAACAAACTGTAGGTGACAGAATTATTTAAATAATGTGGATTAGTTACAGGTTAGGTGCTAGTACAAAATAACCCTTTCAATTTCAGTTAACTTTTATTAAATTTACTTTTTGCTTCAGTGTAATTCGTGTTTGTTAAGAAAAATATAGAGTAGAAGTCATCTGCTTTTAATAAAATTGTGCGAGTTCTTTATCTATATTAAGAGTTATTACTAAACAGTATTGTTCTTGTCCCACCTGTGACAAAAAAAAGCTAAAAGTTGCTATATTTAATTACAGAAGTTGAAGTTGTGTTTCGTTTTTGTTACATAATGTTACAAATTCATTGCAAATGTTTACCACAATTGCGTTTTCATTTTCACATAGTTGGATAGGACTAATTCAACAGTAAAGAATGTCCCACCCGCGACAACTACCTATATACACTTGTGGTCAGCTGATTAAGTTAAGTGACATTTTTACCATTTTTGGCAATTTTCCTTTATTTATTTAATGTTTATATTTTTATTTTATAAAAGTCTAGCACATTACATAACCAGCACCACATAAATCCACATTTCAAACTTCGTACAAAAATTATAAAAACTCAATAAACTAACAATTACACCCAAAAATTGTAACTTTTTGTTCAGAACTTTTAGAAGATAAGACGTGAATGAATTGAACTTCTACTTGGCTTCTGATATTTTTTAATAAATGATCTTCAACATGGACCACATTTAAAGCTCCTTTTCATATAAAAATTCGTACGTGTCCCACCCGTGACGAACGTTGTCCTAGCCGTGACAGAGGAATTTCGGATTTTTTTTATAGTAAAGCAATGATTTTTGTTGTAGTTTTTGCTTTGTTTGTATTCGTGGTTCTTTGTATTATTATAAGGCATCAAGTTCACACAGAAAAGGGAAATAAATTCGCAGAGTTTCCGTAAAATATATCTGCTTCAAAACGCAGGTTCTTTTTTATGTCCCGCCGGTGACAGATGAAATAACTCAGGAATTTTTTTTTGTATTTTGTAATAACCAGGGTACGAAAATAAACTGTACAAAACAATTCCCATTTGCTCATCGATCATCATATCATTTGTGGTTTTGTACAGTTTTGTACATAGTCAGAAACAAATTGTAAGATTCACTGTCATTTTCCCCAACGAGAAACTGCGCAACACCCTCCGCAAAAAAACAATATCATAATCAGCGACCCCAAATACCCATTAATACCAAGATAAAAATAAATTCGTAAATATATATAAAATTTTTGTATCTCGCATAAAGTCCCACAGATTTTTTGAGGTTAGACGCTGGAGCAAAACGGACTTCGTATTCGTGTTCAGCGAACCCAAAAACATATGAAATACCTGGTCGGGTCAAAAGAACCTTTCATCGATTTTTTTTTTGGTCCTGTGTTATTAAAGCCCTGTTCGTGTGCGCAATATCCAGTAAATCCAGTACTAATTTTACTGTTTTTTTTATTGGATGTCGTTTTCATACCCAAAAACTTGCAAGAAACTAACAAAAGAGGGGAAATTGAGAGAGCAAAAATGACAGCTGAACGTGCAAGTTTTACTGAATTTTTACTGGACAAATTTTTACTAGCAACTACTATTTGCTAGAAGAAAAACAGCTGATGGCATGATGCTTAATGTAATTCACATTAACAAAATAATTGTTTGTGGTGCTTTTAGAGTTGTAATTGACAAAATAAACCTATTTAAATATATAAGATGGAAAATACTAGTTTTCTAAGAAAATTGCATCGTAAAATAACAAATTAATCAGCCGTTCATAAAACTAGCAACTTCTTGCTGGTTTTGCGTTTTCGTACTTTCTTGCATATTTCACTCATTGGGTGTAAATATTGGCTTACTCTCCGAAATTTCGTTACTGACTAGTTACTGGATATTTTTTGCTGGAGGATACGAAAACACAACTTAAATAGCAGATGAATTAGGTATATGAGGTTTGTCACAAATTCACTCGGCTGTGGTGGCCGCCAAACAGTACTTTACTATACCAAAACAAATATTTGAATTTTGCAGTGCATCAACGCAAGCCGGATTTGTTGGTACAACCCTGCAAACCAAAGTTCCCGAAATCTTAAGGAAATCGTTAGGAGTATCTCATTTCTGTAACGATTTTTTTACGAATTTTCAAAGAAAATTATATGAAGTGGTTGACACGAACTCGTAAAGAAATTTCTGTACGAAAAATAAAGAAAATTCTGGAAAAATTCTGAAAGATATTCTTCACATAGCAGCATTATTTTCGTTGCTTCACAGATTTTCTTCCGAAATTTCGTAAAAGAATGGAAGTGTGCGTAATTTATTTCATTTTAGAAAATTCGGAAAAAAATCGAATTAAATCTTATCGAATTTTTTTTAATTTCTTTACAATGCAGAATACTCTGAAAAAAATGGTTTGCAGGGAAAATACAATATTAGATATGTATATACCCTGCAAACCATTTTTTCAGAGTATTCTGCATTGTAAAGAAATTTTAAAGAATTCGTTAAGATTTAATTCGATTTTTTGCCGAATTTTCTAAAATTAAATAAATTACGCACACTTCCATTCTTTTACGAAATTTCGGAGGAAAATCTGTGAAGCAACGAAAATACCCTGCAAACCATTTTTTCAGAGTATTCTGAATCGTAAAGAAATTTTAACGAATTCGGAAAGATCCCATCCGATTTTTTTCCGAATTTTCTAAAATGAAATAAATTACGCACACTGCCATTCTTTTACGAAATTTCGGAAGAAAATCGGTGAAGAAATGAAAATAATGCTGCTAAGTGAAGAATTTCTTGCAGACTTTTTTCAGAATTTTCTTTATTTTTCGTACAGAAATTTCTTTACGAGTTCGTGTCAACCACTTCATATAATTTTCTTTGAAGATTCGGAAAAAAATCGTTACATAAATCAGATACTCCTAAAGATTTCGTTAAGATTTCGGGAACTTTGGTTTGCAGGGTTCTTTATCAGTTTATTATTTTGAAACAAATTTATGTGCAAACCATGTGCTTAAGCTTAACTATTGAGTTTTCAGTTTGGAGTATAATTTTTAGAACAGTGCTGTAAACACATGTTTATCCATTTTATAGGTCGTCCTACAGGCGGTTTACCGCTAGCAGCACCTATACCGATGGATCAGCCAGCTGCCATAATCAAGAATGAGAATGGCATGTTCACAATACGGAACCCGGCGCTTCATCAAGCAGTTACGAGTGGTCTAGCCTTGGGTGGTTATCGGCAATTCGGTAATGTAAGCTATTATACGCCACAAGAAGCTGCCGCCGAGGCTGTTAGAGCAAATCAACTGCAGCAACAACAAAACGCTACCAATCAAGTGATTGCGACAAACCACAATGGAGACGGCAGTAGCACATCGTCCTCATCGGCCTTTTCATATTTCTCGAATACCAGCTCGAATGCAAGCAGCGGTAATGCGCCAGGCTCCTCGTCTTCGTCGGCCGGCAGTGTCGGTGCCAGTACAATTGGCAACACACATAACACCATCAGTATTAGTTGTACCAGCATAGACGAGCACGGGGGCAGCACATCTTTAACTGGTAGTGGTGGCGGCTTGACCGGTGACGCAGCTGTAATTGCACGACCGTCGCCACAACCAAAATGCATATCTGCCATTGGTAGTGAAATAAAGAACGCACAACAGCAAAAGCAGAAATGTAAAGAGAGCACGCCGCAGTGGCCTTCGTTCGTAGGTCAGGAGCTGCAAAATCCTGGAATGCCGGGAGCAGAAAATTGTGAGTACATGAGCATTTCTTTTTTTTGGTAATTGACGCCGAGAGCTTTATTGTTAATTTGTTTACAACATTACTTTATTTATGCAACAACCCCGTAGATAATTTCAGGAACTAAAAGGCCCTTCAACTCTGCTTATGTAATACTTGAATGGCCCCTTATTTGTTTACATTTGTTTTGTTCTTATTTATATTCGTTTGTTCATGAATTAATACATTTCTTTGTGGTTGTTTATCGTATCGGTATCGGCCGATTCTTTGCCTATAAGCCGATTAATCGGCATCACTATCTGAAAATAATTGGAATCGGTGGAACTCTACTTGCAAACGTTTTAGTACAGCGAACATATCCAAGCAGAAAAAAAAATCCGAAAAAGAAATGAAAAGTAGATGAAATGCGGATTTTTGTCCGTTTACCGATTCCATTTTCGGATACTTAGACGATCCTTTTTCCCACTAAATTGTGTTGCAGAAATGTATGTACAGGAAAGTACCGAAAATGCTTGTTGTTTTTTCTGAAATTTTTCGTTCAATACGCTTTCCTTCTGCACGTTACAGATGCTTTTTCATAGTTCGAAAATATTTAACAAAAAAACGAATCTTTTTACTGAGTCTGACGGTATTCGAACCCGGCACCTACAAAAGCTTAATTTTCTGTACGTTTCCGGATACGAAGAATATACGGTACGTTTCTCTGTCGGCTGGGCACACTCTTTAAGTTAACGGCTATTTGAAAATTGACATTTACGCGAAATTCCCGCTTTTACAATTTTTATGTAAGTTGTTTGCAATAATAGAATGGGGTTCGCTCGAAAATCGTGCCGTCGTAATTGGTCTGCAAAACTGCAGCTGCGCAAAATGCGAAATATTTGGGATGATGTGGCCGCTGAAAATCAATCGAAATTTTGTGCAACGTACAGTGAAATTATACTAGGATACAGTGGAAACCATCTGGCTGTGCACGCACTTTGCGAACGCCAAAGAAAAATCGAATTCATCGAACTCCGCTGTGCAAGCAGAAAATCACTTCCGGGGAAATGAATATCAACAAGGACAGCATCTGACTTGAGACTCAGCGCATATAAGATATACCGGGCACTTACTTTCAGAAGTGTTAAAACAAACGGTCCCAAATAAATTCTGTTTACTGATGATTAAATTTTCACTGCGGAAGAATCGTTCAAAATAAACTGAACGATAGGGTGTATGCTTTTCGTCACAACGTACGTTCAACCTGACCATGTTGCGAACTTATTTTTCACAGATGATTGGCCATCTGGTACCCAGACCTCGATCGATTGGTTTAAAAATAATGATCCATTCCAAAGGCGCTATGGCTTGCACTACTCGACAGTCAAGTGCTGGGTCTTCGAAGCGCGCTTGTGCGAGCCGTGGAAAATTTCCCGTAGTATGAGATACGTACTGCAATCGATGAGTTGCCAAGCCGACTTCATAGCTGCTGGAAGGCAAATGGCGGCCATTTCGAATATGGTGTTCCACAATCTGTAGCCATTGGGTTATAAAACAAGTAGAAAAAAGTTTTGGAAATGTTCACCCGTTTTTACTTTGCCACCATGTACCAAAACACTTGTGGTACCAACTAGTAAAACTGTCAAATAATAAAAATGTGCTCAGGGCCATTACAGGATTAGGATCCACTTTCCCAAGTATGCAATTGAATATGTTTAGCATTAAAAAGAGAAATGTGGTTTCTTTTGTTTTTATTTTGTTTAACTCTTTTTTGTCAAACATCTGCAGAATTTGTTCATCCAAACTACCGTTCATGCAAAATCCTGAAGTATTCTGCAATCACCATGTGAACAGCCAAAAATTATTTTTCGAATGTTCGCTTTTCAAAAATAAAACACTACCTCCAAGGTCACTTTGCATGCATTGGCTGGGGGCTTGGGCGACTATTTTCCAAAATATATCAGTGCGATAGACTTTTCGAAACTTCTTACATTGCCATGTGTGACTACACTTAAAAATTATAAGATGTACATAATTTATTTATTTCAATTCCTAATTACAGTGGCAGCAGCGGCGGCAACTTACCTCGGCAGTGCAGGAAATGGTTGTGTTACCAATGCCGGTAATAGCGGTGTTGGGGTTGGTGCTTCCGTTGGTGGTGGCGGTGCAGGTACTGGTAGCTGTTTAACTACTGCCTCACTGCAAGAGAAATACCAGCAGTCTAGCTATTATAACGGTTTTGTAGACGTTTTCCCACCAGCAGCACAAAGTAATAGCAGTCAAATATCAACACCAGGTGCTCATTCCAGCAATACTGGTTCGCTCTTTGATGGCGGTGCTGACTGCCTACATCATCATAATTGTGGTGAGGACTCACCGCCACCCACCATAACCGGTTATAATTCATATTTGGATGGTATAACTAATACGGGTGTTATACGTTATGATGACGCATCATTCTTGAAGAATTTAATACCTGGGCAAAATCTAAGCAGTGAGGTGATTGAGAATGAATTTAACACATTTATCGAATCAATACTTTAAACTTAAAAAATTGTTATTTGTTACATTAGGTGTCCATTCATAATATAAACGACTCGAATTTTACACGAAATACAACATCACCGGTGGCACATCGTGTGGAAATTACGCCGGTCTACCGCAGTAGACCGACGTCAACGACTACGAATATATACGAACATTGCGCAACATCATCATCGCTTACACAGAGCGCATTGAGCGAACAGCAGGCTAAATATCATCCGAATGTCGTGGCTAATTACAATGAGACTTTGGCTGATTTCGGTAGTGGTAAGTAACTTTGTAGCTGTAAATTAACTTAAGAAAAATAGTTTCAGTAGTGATTTAAAATGGAAAATTACATATGTACATGCCTATGTATGTTCTTGGTAATCTCAGAATATTATCATGCAAAAAGATAGATTCAGGTTCTTATGTTGTCTAGTCTACTTCGAAGAGAATAAACGAGGATCTAATATGCTTACATACAATTACTTTCAATACTGAAATATACCCTTGAGCTCAACTAATTAAGCCGGTAATACGTTGATCAGTTTGAGATATTTTTATTTTTGAAGTGAAACTGCACACGGAAATGGTGCAACGGCAATGATGCAACGGAAATGGTTGGGTCGGAAACAAGCGCTTCTTGTGTGCATGCACATGGTATTAATTTAACAAAAAATTGTTAATAAAAGTTTAAAGAATAAAACTTAGAAAAAGACCCATACAAGAATGAAAGTAAAGGTGACTACGTACATAGATAAAGAAAAGGATAGAGGCAAAGGTAAAAATAAAACCAAAAGCAAAGGTTCGTAAAGACAAAGGCAAAAATGAAGACCAAGGCAAATTTAAACACTTATACATATAAGGGCAAAGGTGAAGGGTAATATGTAGATGTAGAAAATGATATGTACACATAAAAGCAAAAACAAAGATAAATATAAAAGAAGATAAAGAGAAAGTAGAGATGAAGATAGAGGAAGAAAGATTTAAATTAAGGTAATTATAGATAAAAGGATGTAGATAGAGACACAGACACTCAATAGATAAAGAAAAGGATAAAAGCAAAGGTAAAAATAAAAACAAAAACAAAGATGCGTAAAGGTAAAGGCAAAAATTAAGACCAAGGTAAATTTAAACACTTTACTTATATATATAAGGGCAAAAGTGAAGGGGAATATTTAGATCAAGAAAATGATAAAGATAATAGTAAAAACAAAGATGGGGATGAGGATACCGATAAAAGTAAAGATGAAGATAGGGGAAGAAAGATTAAAATAAAGGTAATTAAAAGGGAAAGGATATAGAGAAGTACACAGAGACTCCATCTGGGAACTATTTTGGGATTTTAGAGACTTATCGATAAAATAGTCGATATTTTCGGAACCTATCGATATAATAATCGATAATTTTAACTATTTTGTTAGTGATATTTTTTATCGATATTTATCGATTTTGTTATCGATATTTATCGATTTTCTGACCGATATTTATCGGTTTTGTTATCGATATGTATCGATTTTGCTATCGATATTTATCTATTTTGTTATCGATATTTATCTATTTTGGTATCGATAGAGTATAAAGATTAAAAATGGAGATAATGGAAAAACAGAATGACATGAATGTTATTAAACCGAATAAATGGTAGAGGTAGGGATCTAGATAGAAAAAAGAAACCTTAAGCAAAAGCATTGGTTATGAGACAAAATAGATAGGTAACGTAAGTTTCACTTCTCCAGTGTGGCCCAGCCGCACTTACTTATTTTTTATTTACTTTAATACCATTTTTTATAAAAATATAGCTAACAAAAAAACATATAAATCCAAATTTCAAATTTGTATAAAATCTCATCAAAATGTCAAACTTTTTATCCAGAATTTTTAGAAAAAAGTTTGGTATGTTTGTATATAGTTTTATAGCCCATTCAATTTTTGTATAATAAAGTGTGCAAGTTTCAAGAGGCTACAAAATACCGTTGATTTTGGCATTATTATAATTTTGTTTTGTTGAGCATACTTTGTATGAAAGAAAATGTGGGAAACATAGATGGAATATAAAGTTTGCTCGTAAATCTACTATATCAATGCCAGAGCTGGACACTTTATGATTACGATTACATTTTGATTACTTAGGACTACGATTACTGTAATTGTAATGCCGAAAATTTTCAGCATTAGGATTATGGTTATTGTAATTATGACATGCTTCATTGCACTTTTCATTATTATGATTATAGTAATCGTAATCCTAAAAATTTTAAGATTACAATTATGGTAATTGTAATGATGAAAATTATGATTACTATTACAGTAGTCAAAAATGTTAATTTTTAGGATTACAATTGCATGATTACGATTACAGTAATCGAGAATTTAGTTTTGCTTAGAGCTTATATTGATATTTATACACTAAAACTCGCATATTTGTTCGAAATTGTTTTAATATTATACACTGGGACTCGTGGTCCCAGTATTCAAAATAAAGTTTGATTTTGATTAAATGTCCGCCTTGATGTTTTCACACAAAGGGGGAACTACAGTTTTACGCCGACCCGAAGGATTACAATTAAAGTGTTCGTAATCGCAATTTTCATAATTACAATTACTGTAATTGTAATCTTGTGCGCTGGGTTTGGGACCCGCCACGTAAAAACCCCTTCCAGTGAAGAAGCGAAACAATGTCTCGGACTACGGCAAACAGTTAAAGGACTACGATTTGAGGGCATGCACCTGGAATGTCCGGACTCTTAATGGTTAAGGAAGCCTCTATCCGGCTGGTTAATGTCCTCGTAAGAACAAAAGCTGACATTACCGCCATCCAAGAAATACGTTGGACGGGGCAAGGCCAGCAATGTCTGGGGAGTTGGATTTGTGGTGGGAGAGAGACTCTGTCGCTGAGTACTGTCGTTCACCGTGGTGGACGCGCGTCTAGCCATAATCCGCATCAAAGCGAGATTCTTCAACATCTCGCTCATCTGCGCCCATGCCCCAACGGAAGAGAAGGATGAGGTATCCAAGGATATTTTCTTTGAGCGCTTGGAGCGCACGTACGAGTGCTGCCCCCGCCACGATATCAAAATCGTGCTTGTCGACTTCAATGTCAGGATGAGCAAAGAAGGGATCTTTGGAACCACCGTCGGAAACTTCAGCTTCCACGACGAAACGTCCGACAACGGATTGAGGCTGATCGATTTCGCCGGGGCCCGAAACATGGTAGTATGCAGTACAAGGTTCAAGCATAAAAAGATTCTAACTCCGAATCGAAAAACGAGAAACAAAATCGACCATGTTATGATAGACGGAAGGCATGCTTCCAGTGTTTTGGGCGTACGTACACTCCGAGGCCCAAACATCGACTCGGACCACTATCTTGTTGCAGCCAATATATGCTCCCGCCTCTGTGCAGCAAAAAATGTACGCCCGAGTATTCAAGGAAATCTTAACGTCGAAAAGCTGCAATCACAACAGACAGCCAATGCATTCGCTACTCGACTCTCACACCTGCTCTCAGAGAGCACTCTTCGACAAACCGACATATGCGAGCAGTGGAACCACATTTCCCGCTCGTTAAGTACCGCCGCCGAAGAAGTAGTCGGATTTCAGCGAGCCCGAAAAAACAACTGGTACGATGAGGAGTGTCGGAAAGCTGCAGAGAAAAAAGATGCCGCTGGCAGGGCCACGCTGCGATCGGGCGCAATGCGCGCTATGTGGGACCGCTATAGGGGTCTGAAGAGGTAAGCGAGACGTATTTGCCGCAATAAGAAGAGAGAGCCCGAAATACGTGAGTGCGAAGAGCTTGAAATGCTGGCCGACAGGAAGAATGCCCGAAAATTTTACCAGAGTTAGGCGACTTACCGAAGGTTTCAAGACCAGGGCGTACTCCTGTAAAAACAACAATGGCGACCTAGTTACCGATGTTCAGAACGTACTTAAATTATGGAGGGGACATTTTTCCACCCTACTGAATGGTAGCAGCACGGAAAGTTGTGAAGAAGAAGAACGAGAGCCCCAGTCGATGATGAAGGAGTCCATGTTCCTTCGCCTGACCATGGCGAGGTACGAAAAGCAATAACGCGGCTGAAAAACAACAAAGCTGCGGGAGCTGAGAGCTATTCAAGTACGGTGGTGAGGAGTTGATAAGGTGCATGCATCAACTCTTATGCAGAATATGGTCAGAAGAACGCATGCCAGACGGCTGGAATTTAAGTGTGCTCTGCCCAATCCACAAGAAAGGTGACCCCGCCATTCGCGCCAACTACAAGGTCTTATCGAGCGTATTGTATGAAAGATTGAAGCCCCTCGTCAATGAACTGATTGGGCCTTATCAGTGTGGCTTTAGGCATGAAAAACCCACCATAGACCAGGTATTCACAATACGCCAAATCTTGGAAAAGACCCGCGAGAAAAGGATCGACACTCACCACCTATTTGTCGACTTTAACAGCACCAAAGGAGAGCACCAAAAGGAGTTACCTATACGCCGCTATGTCTGAATTAGGCATCCCCGGTAAACTGATACGGTTGTGTAAAATAACGTTGAGCAATACCACCAGCTCCGACAGAATTGGGAAGACCCCTCCGAGCCGTTCGCCACGAAACGGCGCTTCAGACAGGGCGACTCTCTTTCATGTGACATCTTTAATCTGATGTTGGAGAAGATAATAAGAACTGCAGAACTGAACCGCTCAGGAGCAATTTACTACAAGAGCCTGCAATTGCTGGCTTATACCGATGAGATCGATATCATCGGTAACAAAAAACGCGAAGTCTGTTCTGCCTTTCCCAAGTTGGATAAGGAAGCAAAGTGAATGGGTCTGGTGGTAAACGAGGACAAGACGAAGTATCTCCTGTCATCAAACAAACAGCCAGCACATTCGCGCCTTGGCATCCACGTCACTGTTGACAGTTACAATTTCGAGAAAGTAGAGAATTTCGTTTACTTGGAAACATGCATTAACACCGATAATAATGTCAGCGTGGAAATCCAACGCAGAATCACTCTTGCCAATAAGTGAACCTTGGACTGAGTAGGCAATTCAGGAGTAAAGTCCTCTCTCGACGTACGAAAACCACACTCTATAAGTCATGAGCTTTACAACGACATGGAATGTAGCGTGTAGCGAATTAAAATACAGCGGCTCCGCTCGCTTTGCCATGTTGTTCGAATGGACACCGACGCTCCAGCTCTGAAAGTATTCAACTCGGAACTCGCTAGTGGTAGCAGAGGAAGAGGGAGGCCCCCACTGCGATGGAAAGACCAAGTGGAGCAGGACTTGGCTTCACTTGGCATTTCCAATTGGCGTCAGTTGGCACAGAAGAGAAACGACTGGCGTGCTTTGTTGAACTCGACCAAAATCGCTTTGGTGGTTACAGCGCCAAAAAAGAAGAAGACTCCGCTGGCTTGGCCATGTCGTTCGAATCGACTCCGACGCTCCAGCTCTGAAAGTATTGAACTCGAAAAACGGCGGTGGTAGCAGAGGAAGAGGGTCGCCCCCACTGCGATGGAGAGACCAAGTGGAGAAGGACTTGGCTTCACTTGGCATTTCCAATTGGCGTCAGCTGGCACAGAAAAGAAACGACTGGCGTGCTTTGTTGAACTCGGCCAAAATCGCTTAGGTGGTTACAGCGCCAAATAAGAAGAAGTTTGAACGGGAAACGAACGGATTGGTTGAGCGATGGCATCGGGTTGTTGTTGTTGTTGTAGTGGCATCGGCTCTTAAAGGCCGCTTTGAAATGCCACGAGGCTAACTTCAATTGGATTGACGTTTTACCCATAGTACTCCTTGGTCTAAGAACAGCAGTAAAGTAAGATCTGGGAGCATCGGTAGCAGAAATGCTTTACGGACAAACGATTCGTTTGCCTAGTTTGATCCTCGACGACGTTAATGACCCATCCGCAGATGTACACACGTTTATACAAGGATTACGGCAATATTTTGAACAAATTAAACCAACGAGAACATCGCAGCATAGAAAAACTCCAATATTCGTCCCGACGGACTTGCGTTTCTGTAGTCACGTTTTCCTTCGAGATGACACAATCCGCTCGCCACTGAAGGCACCGTACGATGGTCCATATCTGGTCGTGAAGAGAAACCCAAAGACATACACAATCCTAGTAGGATCTACACCAGTCACCGTTTCGATAGACAGATTAAAACCGGCTTATTTCCCAACAGAAGAGATCTCGACAACTACTATTAAACGTACAAAAGCAGCAGTATCATTTTGTGAATAAAGCTAGCCATAAGGTAAAATCTTAACTAGTAAAGAAAACCTTAATGCTACAGTTTCATAAAAATTAATAAACATAAAATAAACATAAGCAAACAAAAGAAAAATAGTGAAAACTGGTAAAAATATCGTACTCCTTGATGTTTGTTGTAGCGTTGTTCAATCGTTGTCGTCAAGCTTAACTAATGGTAGGCCCAAGAAACGTGCCCATGACAGCCGGTTCGAACTCCTATTATTTTGTGGACAACAATATACCTTCATATCGAAATTTAAGTGATGAATAATATTTCATGATAAAATATCTCACAATGTTTTTTTTTCTTTTTTCAGACGCTGGTAGCATCTTTGCATCTAACAATCTTGTTAATTTGAATGAGCTCGACGCAGGCAGTGCTGGCACTGAGTCCGATGTTGAATCCTATCAGCGTTACAATTATGAATACGAGAATCAACAGCAGCAGCAGCAACAACAGCAAAAGGCAATACTTGACCTGAACGAGCTGCTAATCAAAAAGAGTTCACATAGCCCACATGCGCAATCCGCTTCACCATACCTAGACGAAGCGGCAATGGACAGTTTTGTGCAGAATATCAGTACGTTACAAATATCAACATCAGCAGATGAGCAATGTGGTGGCCATATGAATGGAAATGGCGGTGGTAGTAATGGTAATGGCAGCGGTAGTGCTGGTGGCGCCAATGTGCCGAGCAATACTGCTACAACAACGACGGCGAATGGTTGGTGGTAAAGGAAATGTCTTTCGTTTTCACTGTCGCCCGATGTGCGGATGTAATGTCCATTCTAACAAAACTGCACAGCCGACAACATATTGCAATACATGTCCTAACATAAATATACATAACATTTAAAAACACATGAGCGCGTATTGTTCATGTTAAATCTACCATTAAAGTCTTAAATTGTCAATTTAAGTAAAACGTCAAAATGTCAAATGAATTAAGCTGCTTCAGTTGCGCTGTTGTGTGGGTATGACAGCCCGTCGGTCATTCATAGAATGGCGTGCTAATGAGTTGTCGCAGCCCTGATTTAAAACTAATATTAAAACATATTCCATATTGAAAAGAAACTTTGTCATATTTTAAAAATGCATATTAAAAAATTTGAAAATACAAAAGCTGCAGTAAAAGATTGTACATGTAATTAAAACTACAATGCGAGTTCTATACATACATACATACTTTGAAATACACTATAAAAACTAAACATAGATTAAAAAAAAAAAAACAATTATTTTTCTTTTGTATGTGTTTGTGGCTTATCCACAACGCATTTAAGGATATCTGAAAGTTTTAACGATTTCAACATCACTCACACGAGCTGGCAATCGGGATCATACAAAAACATTTGACTCAAGTGAAAAAAAATATAAGGCACGAGGTATGTACATATGTGCGTAAATTGCTTATATTTAACGGCTAACGACACGTAAATACACACATATACAAAAGCTATTGTATGTAGATGCGTTAAGCGAAGTAATGAAATCCACGCATATGAGTACTTCCAGACGATCCAGAGCAAAGCAGCGTAGAGTTCAACGGCATACATTGGCGCCTAAGAATTCGTTTTAAATAATATACATACATACATATTAAAAAATGAACTTTTTGCGCTTTTATGCAAGACTTTTTGTTTTTCGATTTTATTTCAGCTATTGACGACAACTGAAATTGCAATTATAAAACAAAAAACAACTGAAACACAAATCGATGATTATAGTAATCAAATTAAAAAGTAATTTTTAAACGTTCAAACGCAAATCATGAACATGATGAACGATGTAAATAATAAATGTGATGTATTAACTATGCACTTATCAGCGTTTTATTTCGATTGGAAGCTTGACTTGAATGATTTCAACTGTAATACACATGTATGTATATTGACGGCTGAGTGGAATATCGACCTGTCTCGGCAGCCGGTTCGGAAACGCCCTTTCTCCGAAAACTTTTCAAGAACGCCTTATTTCTGAATTTTATTGAAAAACGCTCTACCTTCAAAATTTGGTTCAAAACCGCCCTATCTCAACTGAAAATATGTTGCGATAGGGCGTTTTTGCATCGGCAGCTGAGATAGGAAGTTTCTAAGCCCAATTCTAAAATAAGGCATTCTTGAAAAGTTTTCTGAGATGCCTTCAGCCCATCAAAGCTTGACCCAGCAATCCATTGCGGCAATTAGCTGGATTAAGGAAGTCGTCAAACTTACATTATTTTGGAAATATGGTTTAATACTGGAAATGCATTGTGCTGCATTTTTACTAACCCTTAACTTGCAAGACAGACAGGGGTCATTTGACCCAACTCACTTAAAAGTAAATTTAGTAACAAACAAGTAAAAAAGTCTTAAGTTTGGGCGAAGCTGAACATTAAATACCCGGCGCTCGTATTAAATATAGTTTTTTCACCTTTCCGAAAACTACCGTTACATGGTAAGCAGGGCTGGTTTTACCCTTAGGGCCCGTGCCTATCAGTAGAAAAGTTCTATGGTGAAAAAACTTTTTACTATGGTGAGAAAATTGTACATTTATGCTGTGCCAATTCGTAACTTTTTACTGCCGGAAATTTTTGACAGTTGCTTTGATGCAGAAGAACATTAAAGTTAAGTAAACAAAAACCTTTACTTAACTTTTTTTAATTTCAATTTCGATAACGTTGCTGTAACAGTGGCAATGGCCCAGTGTGCAGAGCAATGTCGTGCCATTCGAGAGATTCGAGTTCCAGTCCTAGGGTAGGAAAATTTTCTTTTCCTTTTTTTATTTATTTTATTTTCTTGTTAAATTTAAAAAAACTAATTTTATTTAGTTTTTTTCTTTTTTAATCTAGTTTTCTTTTGATTTGTAGAATTTATTGTTTTAAAACGGAAACTTTTTTTTATTTCATATAAAAAAAAAAAAACCATTAACAGGCCAATTCTGGCATCTGTCTTTCAACTCATCTCGGTCCTTCGAAAGCCAAAAGTCTATATTTCGGCAACTATCTTGAAAGCTTTCTTCGGTATTTTAGATGACTAAATAATTGAAAGATCTGCTAACGAGGAAGGTGGCGTTATTCTATTTATCGTTAACAATACGTTTTCTAAAAACTAAACAAAATTAAAAAAATATTTTTTTAAAACAAGAAAAACCAAAAAAATGTGAAAATTAAAAAAGCTTAATTACAAAAGTTTCTAAACATTACATAAATTAAAAAATATTTATTTTTTAAACAATAAAACTTAAAATGTTTAAAAATGTTTATTAAAAAAAAAATAAAAATCCGTTGCCGAGGATTGAACTCGGATCTTTCGAATGGCACGAAAGTCCTCTGCTCACTGGGCCATTGCCACTGTTATCCAACGTTATCGAAATTGGAATTTATTGGAAACAAACAAAAACTTCAAAATCATTCGTTAAAGAGTTAAGTAAAGGTTTTTCTTTACTTAACTTTGATGTTCATTAAATGCCGTTAACGAATCATTAACTGACTGAGGGAATTTTTTCAAATCATTACTAAGGAACACCTTAAGTTATCATTAAACGACTCTGAGTGCGGCTGTAAGTGCCCGTTAGAGCTAATTTAATGATCGTTTCTGAGTGCGGTTGTTAGACATTTAAAGTCGAAAAAACTCAACGCTCAAGCAGACACATAATCTTTACTCGCAATATACGTAGTAGGCTATGGCGACCCCAAATTATATTGTTTATGATTAAAAGTTAACTGTTTTATAATGTTAGGGAATGGTGACAACAATTTAAATATTTATTAAGGATTTTTTAAACAGCTTTCATGGTACATTTTTACGTTACAGTTTTTATTATTTTTTCTTTTGTACGAGTAGCCTTTTTTTAATTGTTTTCATTGCGTAATTTGTATACCAACTCTTCGTTGATAATATGATCACTTCGTTTGATAAGGTGTTGTAAACTCTTTCTTCATTTAAACTGTTCGGCTTTTGGATAAGCGGAGAGATTTAAAAAAGATCTCAAGTAAAGCTTTTCCAAACACTATTCGTTTGGAACCAATTATGTAATTTTTCATTTAGTTTAAATATTTTTAGTCTTTACTTTTAAATAGATGACAATCCTTTTGAAAATATTTCCAAATATTTCTGAAATACCTTTCGTTTTGTACCCATATTGTAATATTTCAGTTACTTTATCAATTTATTGAGTTAAATTTACAAACAGGTGGCAACCCTCATTAAAAATATTTTCGACTGTAAATCTTTTTCAAACTCTTTAATTTGATACCCATATTGCAATATTTCATTTATTTAATCACTTTAACTAAATTAAATTTTAAAATACATAGATGGCCACCCTCTTCAAAAGTATTTTCAATAGTCATCTTCCTTAAACCTTTTAAAATTATACGTTTATTGTAATATGTGACTTATTTTATCAATTAAATTTAGTTAAATATTCAAGCAGGTGGCAACCCTCCTCAAACCTATTTTCGGCTGTAAGCCTTCTTAAAAATATAAAATTAGGTACCCAAATTCCAATATTTTATGTATATAGCAATTTAACTGAGCTAAAATTTTCAAAAAGGTGGCAATTCCTAAAAATATTTCCAGCAGTTATCTTTCTCAAACCTCTGTAATTCAATATCTTTGTTGCAATAAATCATTTATTTTATCAATTAAGTTGAGTTAAGTTTTCTAACAGGGGCAACCCTGCTTAAAAATATTTTCGACTGTAAGCCTTCTTTAAACTCCTTAGTTTGATACCCGCATTGCAATATTTCATTTATTTTATCAATTTAACTGAGTTCAAATTTTCCAATAGGCGCCAACGTTTCCAAAAATATTTGCTACAGATATCTTCCTCAAACCTCTTAGTTTAATACCCATACATATAAATTACAATACTTAATGTTTTTATCAATTTAATTGAAAAAATATTTTGAAACAAGTGGCAACCCTCTTCAAAAATACTTCCGACTATAAGCCTTCCAAAAAATCTTTAGTTTGAGAAAAAAATTTGAAACAGGTGGCAGGCCTCCTCAGAAATACTTTCGACTATAATCCTTCCTAAAAATCTTTAGTTTGATACCCACAATGCAATATTTTATTTATTTCATCAATTTAACCGAGTTCAAATTTCTAAATAGGTGGCAACCTCCTAAAAGTATTTCCAACAGTAATTTTTCTTATCATTTCATTTATCTATACCATTTTCCAGTACTCTGCCACAGATATTTCAAGAGATATACAACATGAAAATTTTAGTTAGTATGGGTAGTGCCACGCCTCCTTTTCCGAATTTGGACAAACTTCACATAAACCATCTGCATAAAAACCGGAATATGCCGCATAAATAAATTTGGTTAAATTCGGTGAAGCCGTTCTCAAGTTATGAGGTCACACCAAAAACGTGCCCTTATTTTTATATATAAAATAGAGGTGCCACGCCCCCTTTTCCAAATTTGGACAAACTTCACATAAACCATCTGCATCATGGCCCCGAGTATGCTATATAAATTTGGCTGAATTCGGTGAAGCCGTTCTCAAGTTATAAGCTAAAACACTTATTTTTATATATAAGACTAGCAGACCCGGCGAAATTCGTCCCGCCCAAAATTATTATTTTTTATTGAAACATTTTGGTCCAACATGTTCACCAACAATTCGCGTTTACGATTTATCTGCTAATATTATGGTTTGGAGGTCGTCGGAAGGCATATTCCAAGGCCGTTTTAAATAACCTAACGAAATTGTTAAGTCCGTGAAATAATTCCTGGAATTTCCCCAATGATCTGGCGTTTCATAGCATGGTTAATCGAATAACGAAATAAAATTTGAAGAAGTTTTTCCTCTTCACTACCTGGCGGCAACAATGATCCGCTTCGATGGTGAGTCCTTCCTTGAAACCTTTTAGTGTAGCTGATAGCAATTAAATGGGGAGTATCATTTGTCTACAGAAATCTAATATACATAGACTTATTTCCGACGAAATATCGTAAATGACCTATCATGGGTCATTTGAGATTGACTCCTGAAAAACTCAATTCTGGTGCCTCCGAATGAAGTTTCAATGCATAGAAATATTGGTGAATCACATCCATTGGGCCAGTCGGCATACTCTGTGGTTCAGCAGGCCGACGTAATCGGGCATTCACGACACTTATTTTCACTGGGCGTTTTTTTGGTAATAACTCGACTCCGGCGGCACCTGGCGGTTCTTTTTATACATATACATATCCCGAATAGGAGCCAAATTGCATCATAAATACGAATTTTTAGTAATAACTCGACTCCAGCTCAACCTGGAGGTTCATATTGTAAGCTGAAACTATCCAGAGACCCCCTCAAACACACACAACGCCCCCTTTTCAAATAGTCCCACTTTTCTCCATGAGTATTCGATTGGTATGGTAGGGGTCACGCCCCCTTTATGTATAGAAATTTCCTTTAGCCTATAACCATCCTTGGGAAGTCTGCAGAAGGTATCCGAAATTAGGAAAAAACGGGAAGCCTTTCTCGAGGTTTGCGAATAAAAAAAAAACGGTTTTCAAAATATATGTATATATGTATATAGTATAGATAACTCGACTGCAGCGCTCCCTAGCCGATACATTTTTCTTCCCTTTACCAACACATATATAGAAAAATATAACCGAAATCGCCACATATTGGGTTTTGACTTAATAAAATTGTTCATATTTGATAATCCAATGATCGGATCTAAACCAGATTAGTATGGGACCTCCTCTGAGACACTACCTTTCCGATGCGGTAAAACTAAATTACGAAGTACGTATCTCGAGAACGGATTGTCGATTCAGTATGTATATATATACGTAAATATATATATTTTTTTATATGAGAATTGA